AGAAAGACAATAAAGAAAAAAGAAAAGGAAGACCAAAAGGAAGAAGAAAAAAACATACAACACCAGGGATTCGCTGGTCGTCACCGACCCAACTACTAGTCTGGCCCTCACTGGCTTATCTATGGGAGAGCGGACGGGATCCCGAGTTTTCCAGTGGGTATGGTCGTATATGATTTGAATGAGTTTAGCGAGGGATTATGAGGGAAAGTATCTTGAAGCCAGACACCAGACTCCAACAAAAACCCCTGAATCCCAAACAGCGATGAGGTGTGCTAGGTAAGATGGGTTTACAACTGGTTCAGCAATGATTGGGATTGGATATCAACAATCCGATTTGAGCGCCAAGAAAAGAAGCGGACAAACCGATTCCAGCAAATGATGGCAAGGACCATGTGGAGGACAAAGAAGGAAATCGATCAGAGAGATCTCGACACCAACTGCCGAACCCTGTGCGGATCAGTGATCACTGCCAAGGGTCCGAGAAAGCAATAGCCTCAACACCGCCGCTCTGGGCATGGATATGTACCTCGTTCCCATGTCAACCAGCCAAGCGATCCAATTCGTGTTCCTACGACTCCGCCACGATGCTGTTCAAATAAGCTTTTTTAGTTCAGACCTCCTCTTGGCCTACGCGTTGACCTCGTCGAGACCTACGTCACCCGATCTGGGTAGGCTCCACCGGGACATCCATGTCCATCACGTACCAGGTCCCAACACTCCCCCCCCCCCCGGGGTCAATGACAACTTCCAGTTTGGTTAAATGATCGCCACTGTCTGTTCCTGAATCACTGTCTCACCCAGTTGACTCACTCTTGCATCACTCCAAGCAATTTGATCTTCTTTCTGGCTGCCGAAAAACAAGCTTTATAAGACGCAACTTCCCGAGACAAACACCATCATCAACAAAACAAAACCAAGCCAAACGCCCACGTCAAAACATTTGCAATGTCTTCCAAAACAACACCCACATCAACTACCAACATCAATACTGGTGATCCAACTACATCCACTCGCAAAGAACAATCACCACGCAACAGTCTCTCTTTAAGAAGCTCAGTATTACCCACAATCACCAACTCGACAGCAACAGTACCCTCAAACACAACAATGGCACCACCACCCGCTTCCATGGGACACGGTCTCTCTTCAGAGAACCAGCTCCGAAGCCGCCGGAGATCATCTGCCTCCTCCACGCGCAGCGAACACTTTGCCGCCGCCGCCACTTCGGCCTTTGCCGTGCCCACCATTTCCGTTCCCACGCCCACATACTCCAGCCATCACCGCTCCATGTCATCCTCCAGTACCTCCCAGCACTTATCTTTGCCCCCTTTCCGTCATCGCCGCTCATCCTCCAGCGCCTCCCAAGACGGCTACCGCTCTCCTAGCCCGGGCAGCAGTAGAACTAGCGCCTTTGTCCTCCCACCCGGCGTTTCCATCAGCCAAATCACGCCCAACGTTTTTGTCGGGAACAATGCGAGTTCCACTTCGATCCAGACGTTGATGCATTACGGCATCACTTCCATGGTTTCCTTGCTATCCACCGCGGAGCAACAACTCAACGAAGATGCGTGGAATTCACCCGCTTTGGGGATGTTGGTCCCCAAGCAAAACAGGCTGTTTGTGCGCTGTGAGGATTCACCAGAGGAAGATCTAATGGGGAAGTTGGCCATGATTTGCAAGTTTGTCGAGGACCAGATTGAAGAAGGGCATCCTGAGCAACGACATCGGAAGCAAAGCGTCGAGGAAATGCTAAAGAGTGTGTTACCTGCGAGTGAGGTGCCCAAGGGGTTTCATACCGGGACTGCTGATCAGGAGCAGCAGTCTAAACCAAAACAGAGAGTGCGCAGTCTGATTCCCGATGAGGAAGGGAATGTTGAAGGGCCCACATTGACATCACCGCAAAATCCCAAGGACACGACAGAGTCGCCGACGCAAAAGCCAAGAAGGAACTCAATCCCCGCACCACGAATGCAAAGAGTCCGATCATTAATCCCCGACGACATACACCCCGTCCCATCCGTCCCATCAGGTTCCATCCCCTCCATCCCTTCTGCCCCTGTCCCTTCACTTCCTGGCCAACCCCACCTCTCACCACTACTCGACACATCACTCTCGCAACTCTCGGCTCTTTCTCCTGCCGCCCAAGCCGGCCCGTCAGCATCATCATCTACATCTATATTTACATCTATGTCAACATCTACATCAACGCCCACAAGCCCCTCCACCCAATCCAGTTTCGAAACAGGCGGTAAAGTCTTAATCCACTGCAACCAAGGAGTCTCTCGCTCTGGCGCCGCCTGCGTCGCTTACATAATGAAGCAGCAGCCGAACCTGTCAGCACGTAAGGCGGTGCGGTTCGTGCAGGTGCGGAGGAAGGAGGTGGAGCCCAGCGCGACGTTTTTGCGGCAGTTGGGGGTCTGGGGGGAGGAGTGCAAGTTTGATGTTTGGGAGGAGAATGTTGAAATTGCCTCTGACGAAGGGCTGGACGGAAATGAGGTGGACGGAAAGGGGGCGCATGGAAAGGCAGGACATCAAAACAGGAAGAAGGTACCCAAGGCTCCGTACAAGAAATGGTTGGATGAGCGGGAAGAAATGCGGAGACAAGTAAAAGAAATGGGGGGCTTGGTTCTTCCGCAGGGTGGAATACAGGTTTAGGATGCTGGTGGCAGGGAAGCTACCTCTAGGGCTGGAACTGGGAATGGACATGCACATGGACATGAGAAGGAACATGATAATGGGAGTGGGAGTGGAAGTGGAAGTGGGGGCATGGGCGGCAGGCATGTACAGTGGGCTGCATCTCCCACCCTTTCTCGGACTACTGGGTGCTGGGGGCGATTAGCTGGACGGGTACCGACTCCTGTTCCTGCTCCTATTCCTATTCCTGTCCCTAGCGGCGCTCGTGCTCGTATTGATACTGGTTTCGGTGCTGGTACCGGTGCGGAGTCTGATACTGATAGTGGTTCCGATACTGGTTCTGATTCCGATACTGATACAGGGAGAGACGAAGGTGGTAGCGACGTGGGTGATCTGTAAAGAGGAGTGGGCGGGTTGAGTTTGAGTCGAGCGCAGACGGAAAGCTTGGGGAGGATGTATCGGGGGGATAATTGGAATGGTACCTCTATCAAGCCGAGGAGCCGGACTGAGTAGGTGGTGGAGGATGGTAACGAATGAAGAAAGGAATACCTCTAAGGAATAAAAATTGAGGGATATTATCAAGGTGAGACAGCAGCGAGTTACCATGGGGCATGGAAGTAGATGCAGAATCAGCTCAGCGATGGAAATATTATAAGCGATTATTGACTACCTATGGCTCCTACTTGGGAGGTTACATATCGGTGCTTTGGATGGTTACCTACCTTTCTGTGTTGTGAGACGTGAGTACCTCTATCAAGTGATTAACGATTTAATGAAAACGAAGGTCAGCAATGAAAGGATACTCTGACTTGCCTCTCTTGGAGTGGACTGGACTGGAGTGGTGGACTGGAGTGGACTGGATTCGGTGCATGGATGGCTGTCAAATCGAGTAGGAAAATGAAAACAGGCAGTGAGCAGTGAGCAGGCAGTAAACCGTAAGAAATAGGTTCGCTTGAGATTTGGTCCTGTTAACTGGTACGACAGACCTGGGTTATCGGACCCTTGGTGTTTGTCATGTCTACCCCTAGAGGTAGGTACCTACCTAAGTAGGTATGTCTGTGTCGTATGTTTGTGTTGTATCTCTTGTGTCGAATTCAAAGGCGTGCTGTTTTTGCTTCGGTACCTAGGTATTACTAGTGGCGAATCAAAGAATGACGACGGAGGAAAGTGGACATCGATGCCCGAGAAAGAAAAGAAAGAAAAAAAAAAAAAAAAAAAAGAAAAAGAAAAAAAGAAAGAAAGCAAAAAAACTACATGTGGAACTTTGCAGAGAAAAGGTAGGTAGGTAGGTGAGCACCTCAATGGCAGCGACCGAGGGCTGAGTGCCCTTTTGCAACCCCTACTTGCATGTCTTATTTCCCATGTCCATTGCTTACCTACCTAGGTATGTGAGCCCGCGTGTGATGCTTGTGCCTGTGGCCAGGTCATGATGCCTCTGGAGAAATCCGGTCAGGCTCGTCGGAGACGGAACTGCGAAATCTGGTTCAGTGGACGCTGGGCGCTGGGCGGTGACTGCCCTGTTCTTGCAATGCATAAACAGGTACAGGCACAGACAGATCAAGGAAAGACAAAATCATAAACTCCGTTTCGGCAAGAAAGCTTTGCAGTTTGCAGCTCCGGAGTTCCGAGAATGCATGTGGTGATGTAGGTGGTGGTGGTGGTGGTGGTGGTGAAATCAACGTGTCCGGATTGGGGAGCATTTCAGCAAAGTATTTTGTAGAATGATGAAGACACTCGACGCCTACGATGTAGACACCACAGTGTATCATACGTATAAAACTTTGGACTTGTCTTTGAACAGTTTTCTTTTGCCTCAGAAGACATTTGGTGTTTTTCCTTTCGTGATATGATAACTTGGCCATGTCCCGGGTGCTGCGGGCTACATAATTTTCTGCAATCCTGAAAGCTGCAATCTCAACACCAGTGGCGAGCTGCACCAAGGCACATGTCTTGTCGAGGTGACGGAGGTCCGGAACACCTACCGGACAAGCAATATTAATATTTAATGCCCAGCACACGCAATTCTGATGAACGCAATAACCAGAAAGAATGCTCGAATCTCCTCTTCAAGACCCTATTTAAGCCCCTCTTCCTCAACTCTGTGTTCCAGTTGTGTTTTTTTTTTCTCCCACCAGATCACACACAATCATCAAAGCCTCGACCTGATCTAACCATCTTCTCGCTCAACCAAACTTGCAACCTGCCAGAAAGTTTCTTCCAACACTTTACATCTGAAACTCATCAGTCATCGTCTGATTGTATGTCCCCCTTTCCCTATCTGTCTTCGAACATCTTCCCCTTCTGACAAAGAATAACTAATTGACTAACAACTCTTTCCATCAGACTACCTAACACATCCAGCCGCAATGCGTTCACCATTCGGCACTACAGGGCTTACCAGATCACTTGGTCTGGTGGCCCTCGCACTCTCAACCACCTGCACCGGGATATACATCCCCAGTGCCCGTGTCCCCCTCCCGGCATCTTTGGCCCGCAAGGATGCCACCACCATCACAGTCACCACCGTGTCCACAGCAGGCACGACGGTGACAAACCTCGAAGCGGACAGCAGTGTCTCCGTCCCCACTGCTGCTACTACCCCCAGCCTCCGCCGTACGCGCTCCAGACGACCGGTTACGGTTGTCGAGACGGTCACGGCCACTACGGTAATGGAGACGGTCACGGTCACGCCGGCCGCCTCCTCGGCGACGAATAGCGTCGAGGACAACAATGCTTCTTCTGGTTCCTCCGATGTGTCTTCTATCTCTACCGAAGTCGTCACCGATGTCGTTGTCGTGTCCCCTGAGACGGTTACCATCATTTACGGTGGGGGTGTCTCCTCTACTGATGCCGGACCTGTTTCTCGCGGTGTCGTCTCTTCGGCTAGCGATGTTCCCTCTTCCTCTGCCAATGCTGCTTCCACCTCCATCGAGGTGACTACTGTTACTGTCTTCCCCGAGGTCGTTTCTACCTCTACTGTTGGAGTGTCATCCTCCACTGATGAGGTTTCCGACTCTGCCTCCACCAACAACGCTGTCTCCACCCGCAGGACCACGATTACCTTGGGAAAGGGAACGACCACTGCTACTGAGGCGGCCACTTCAGTCGAGCCGTCCACTTCTGTCCAGAGGACCATTACAATTGACACGGCCGCACTCGTAACTTTGCCCACGTCGCTTGTTACCCTAACAAGGAGAGCAGACAACAAAGCGGCTCCCTCCTCGCCATCCTCTTCTGACGGGGGTGCCATCTCCATCGCGACCCTCGCCTCTGCCTCTCCTGTTGTGTGGAATCCACTTTTCGGTCATGGCCCTGTCGTTGTCTCTACCTCTTCTGCTTTCATGAATCCTCCTTTTGGTCATGGCCCTGTCGTTGTCTCTACCTCTTCTGCTTTCATGAATCCTCTTTTTGGTCATGGCCCTGTCGTTGTGTCCGCTAGTACTCTCGATGCGCCGGAAACTCTGTCCACAGTATTCGTCACGGCCAAGAGGACAGGCGACGCAGCGGTTTCCTCCGGTGGTTCCTCCTCCGCCGCTGCCTCTGCCTCTACTCCTGATGTCGTCAAGACCCTTCCTGGCATTGTCATTGTCAGTAGCCTCGATACGCCGGAAACAACTCTGTCCACGGTGTTCGTCACGGCGAAGAGGACAGGCGACGGAGCGGTCTCCTCTAGTGGCTCCTCCTCCGTCGCTCCCGCTACCCGTGCCTCTGCTTCTGTCTCCTCCAGTGGCTCGTCTTCCTCCGCCGCTGCCTCTGCCTCAACTTCTGCCGATGCCGCTCCCGTTTCGTCTACTACCAATGATCGCCCCCTCCTTACCATTACCAGGACCAGCACGAATGTGACGGCCACGGTCCATGTCACCGTGGCACCCACCAGGACTAGCACGAGTGTGACGGCCACGGTCCATGTCACCGTGGTGACGGCCACGGTCCATGTCGCCGTGACACCCGCCGCCCCCACCGAAACGAGGTCGACGCTGCAGCTGGCGCAGGCTAACTGTCTCGTGTGCCAGGACATTTTCGACGACAATGGTATAGTGCCTCCTGAGAAGGTGCCTGCGTCTGCTGCTTATGCTGTGAAGAGAAACTTGGACTCATTGGAGGAGCCTCTGAATAATACTGCCCCTAGGCGCAGGATACCAGTGGGGAAGTTGATTTCTCTGGATGGCGGTGATGACATTGCCCCCCTACTCATCCCTCCGATGTTGCCCACTGGTGGCGTGGTTGATGATCATGCCAACGCTACTGTCAATAGGGATGGTGCTGTCGTTTCCCGCCAACTCGTCCCTCCTATGATGTCTGGGTTCAGCGTCGCCACCCACATCACTCGGAGCTCGTTCTCGCCCATCCGCCTTCCCCCCGTTACCAACAACGCGGACTTGCACACCACCCATTCCACTCACTCGCCCATCCGCCTGGCTCCAATCACCAACAACGCGGACCATGCCACCCGTCCCAAGCAAACCGCTACGCCCATCCGCCTCGCCCCCATCAACAACATCACCACTCCCACCGGCGTCCCCCAACCCCAGCCCACCGACGTCCTACAACCCAAGCCATTCATAAACCACGCCCCCCTCAAGGACGTCCTCCCCGGCGTCGTTGACAATGACCACCTTGAGCCCCTCTCCCAAGGCACCGCCAAGTCCCGCCGTGCCGAGACTTTCCCCCTCCCCCCTCTCAACATCACCAGGGGCAACCTCAACCAGGCCTACAACCCCTCCCCCAAGTCCACCGTTTTCAAAACGCCCGCCACCAAGTCCCGTGTCCCTAACCCCCTCATCGCTACCCCCAACCCCCTTCTCGGCACCCCTCGCCCGACCCCCACCCCAACCCCCGTATGGGAACATAAAACCCACATTTAGAGTTTAGAGTTTACCTAAACTCTAACTATCTCCGGCCTGCAACATGACTGCGCACACAACGACAACGACAACGACAACGCGCAGAGAAAGGGAAGAGGGAAAGGAAAGGGGAAAGGGGAAAGGAGACAGCGTAGAGGGAAGGGGAAGTAGAAAGGAAAAGAGGAAAGAGGAAAGGGAAGGGAAAGAGGGAAGGAGATGGGGGATTGGGAAAAAAGGGAGGGGAAGGAGAGAAGCTGGAGTGAAAAGGAAAGGAGGGGAAGGAAGAATGAAGAAAAGCGGGAAAAAAAAAGGAGTAGGAGAGATTTCATTCATCATCTACCTACATCAGCGGTTCTCATTATAGATTGGATCCTTTTCGTTGTAATTGGGTGGGTACCTAGGTAGGGAAAACAGTACCTACCTACCTACCTACCTTACCTACCTCTACAACTTACCTTGGCATTTTCTTTTCAAAAGTGGAATTGGATCTTTTCCAATCTCACCTAGCGTTTTCCTTTTTCCAGAATTGGATCATCAGTTGTAGTTCCAGGTAGTGACGCCACTACCTTACAACTTACCTTAGCGTTATCACCTAGCGAAACTCTGTTTCAGTTCCAAACCTACCTAACCTTTGCGTCCAGATCTTGTCCTCGACTTCAAAGCTCAAGTGATCGTAACACGCCCTTATAAGTTCACCCGTTTATTGTCAGCGCTGTATCGAACATCCTGCATCTCGTGAAAGATTATACTTCTACCAAGGAAGATCTTGTTCTGAAAGATGAACTCACCATAAATACCCATGCGAGGACCAGGACATACCAATACCTCCTACCTACCTCTACAAATCGACAACATGCCCGCTTGGTCGAGAAGAGGTTCATCGACGTGGCAGCCAAACGCGAATCAGGCCTCACGAGGCCCTCTTGGGCAAAAAGCCGGTCGCGAACATGGGTGTCAACAAAATTATCAACGTTCTAGTCAAGCTGAACAGACTCCGACGACGGGGGTTTGGCATATATGCACATGCACAGCAGCTCTTTGAACAGCGACCTTAGCCGACGTTCTCCCACCAGACCAGTCGATCGATCGATCGTATGCAAATTGCTTATTTGGGCATGGTATTGATGCGATAAGTCCCCCCTAGGTCTGGACGAGGGCCCTCTCTCCTGCTTCAATACCACTGTCAATGTCAAAGATCTCCTCCTTTCACCTCAAAGCCGTATGCTAAAAACTGTAAGCCATAGCCCACAAGACGCAAGACACATTGGGAAAGACGAGAGAGGATTCCCCAGGGACACGAGACGTAGACAAGACTTTCACTATAGGAGATCAACATCAGGTATGTAAAGTAACAACCATCCAATACCAAGTTGACGACATAGAAGTATCCAGACAGAAAACAGCACACACAAATCGCAAGCAAAAAAGAAACCGGAAGGGAATAGAATAACGAATTCGCAATTTAACGCCTAGCCTCCATTTCGATTCCGCAACTCTAATGAAGTCAGTAGGAATCTAAGAAAAATAGAAACTCCGTACAATACCATCAACCATTAAGCCATCCAACCTCCCTCAATTATAGCCTACGCCTCCCAATCGTCATCGCTCGACCGATCCTGCTCAGAATCCCAATCGCTCAAGTCATCATCCTCATTCTCTTCGTCTTCCTCCTCATGCACAACCCTACTAGCTCCCCTCGTAGCCCTGGCTTCTCTTCGACCTCCCACCGCGCTACTCTCCCCTGCGCGACCGCGGTAGTTGTTGAAGGCTTCGTCGCCGTAGGATTCGTTGCTATTGTCCGAGTCCTCATCTTCATCAGACGAGTCATCATTTTTCTTGCCCTTTTTCGTGGCCTTCGTGGCTTTGCCTTTACCCTTGTCGAGAGCTTTGCCCTTGCCCTTATCCACCGCCTTCCCCTTCTTCTTTTTCTTCCCCTTATCACTTTCCTCATCATCATCATCACTATCATCCTCCTCCTCCTCCTCAGCCCTCCTCGCCTCCTCCCTCTCTCTCGCCCTCTTCTGCCTTCTATACAACTTATCTTTCAGCCTCTTGGCATTTAACTTTCTGAGCTCCTCTCTTCTCTTCTTCTGCTCTTCTGTCATTTCTTCTTCGTCTTCCTCATCTTCCTCATCTTCATCCTCGTAGTCATCCTCCTCGTTCTGCTTCTTTTTCTTCCCTTTCTTTGCTGCGGCAATAGCATCCTCTGCCTCGCGTGCCCTTGCTCTCCTCTCCGCTTGATACTTCCTGTCGCGATGTTTCTTCCTTTCCTCCTTGTCACGCTTGATGCGAGCGGCGCGTTGTGTGGCAGTCTCGTTGGGTGGAATGGGGAGCGGTTGATAGACATCGGGATCGGCGTCACCGCGGCGACGTTGACGGGGGAGCGGGGCAGGAGGGGGAGGGGGTGGACGAGGTTGGCTTCCTGAGGGATGAGGTTGGCTTCCAGAAGGACGAGGTTGGCTTGCTATAGGACGAGGCTGGCTTCCTGTAGGACGAGGTTGGTTTCCTGAAGGACGGGGTTGGGTTCCTGTAGGACGGGGTTGGGTTCCTGTAGGACGGGGTTGGCTGGGGGCTGCACCGGCTGGACGAGTTGAGGCTGAACGAGGTGCTTGTGTGGTGGGTGCCGATGGGCGGGATGGCTGTTGGCCTGTGGCACCTGCTGGACGAGTTGAGGCTGGTCGGGCTGCTTGTGTAGAAGGTGCAGATAGGCGAGGTGCCTGTGCAGCGGGTGCAGCTGGGCGAGATGATAGCTGAGCTGGAACTCGGGGTTGTGGTGCCGGTGCTGGTCTCGGAGTAGGAGCCGGTCGAGACTCGGGTTGAGGCTGTGCTACAGCATCCCTTCCACCTGCCCTCGCCGTCCTCCGCTCCGCAGCTTGCTCAGCAGCTTGCTGTCTTTCCGCCTCTCGTCGAGCTTCTTCCTCTTGCAGTTGAGCCACCAGTTGAGCTTCTTCGTCCGAGTCATGTGCAGCAGGCCTATTGCGAGTGCTCCGCGTAATGGGCGCAGCAGGAACCGGGGCAGCAGAGGCCCGGGCCCGGGTAGTACGGGATGGGGCCGGGGCAGGAGCAGGGGCAGGAGCAGGAGCAAAAGGATCATCAGGAGCAGCGCTGGAAGCCGCACCAACACCAGCACCTCTACCTCTTCTAGAGGCAGTAGCTCCCTTCCTCCCCTTCTTCTTCCCTTTCTTATCCTCCGGCGATTCCTCATCCGGTTCCTCGACCTCAATGATATACTCCCTTCCATTTGCCCACGCCCTCATCATCCTCTCTCTCCTATCCACATCTCTCGGATCCAAAGTATCCCTAAACCTCTCCCTATAACTCCTGATAAACCGCTCCAACGCCTCCCTTCGGACCCTCGCCTCGCCCTCGGCAAAACTTTCCGGATCTTCTTCCAGGTCTTCTTCTTCTTCGTCTTCGCCCCTGTCTTCCATTTGCGGTGGCCTTGGAAGAGGTGGATGTCCATGATACCCATGCTCAGGGATGAACTTCCCTCCCGTATGGTCTGGCGGGGGTCGGTTAAGGACGGGCTCTCGGTCCTCTAGGTGTGCCAGGACCCTTTCTCTCATTTCCCTGAACCCCGTGACTGCTTGATCAATTGCCCCACGCATTTGTTGCTCTAGCTGTTGGTCGTTGAGGATGGCACGGGGTGTTCCCTTGACTAGAAACCTGGCGGGTGTCCTGAAGGGGGCACGGGGACGTCTACCTGGGAGCGCTGGTCGATTGACGGTGTATTCGTATCGGGCTTGCCTGTCAAATTGCTGTCGAGAGGTGGGAGAGTAGTTAACGCGGTTATTATGGAGCTCCAGCAGGTAGGCGCGCTGGCGCGGAGTATACTCGGGGCGGAGGTGGGGAGTGAGGTAGTCCGGATGGCGGGGATCGCGGTTGTCGACCGGGGGTGGAGTTTTGGGTAGCTGTGCTTCTTCATTGTCGACGTCGTCAACGCCGCCCATGGCGACATCTTCGTCGTTGTCTTCTTGTTCAGGCGTAGCGTCCCTCTCGGCATGCCTGTTTCTGTTTCGGTTAGGAGAGTGGAACATGCTGTCCCCCGAATACTCGGACCACCTGTTGGCGCCGGATCCACGAGAGCCACGAGAACCCCTCGATCTGCGAGAGCTACCAGAATGTCCACGTCCAGCACCATCACCATCCTCCTCCTCATACTCGCCATCCTCCTCCTCCTCAGTATTATGATCCTCATTGTCATCTTCATCCGTCCCCTCAGCACTAGACCTATCCTCATTCCTCTCCCTATAACCAGTGAACTGATCCCTATCGTCCGACCCCGGTTCATACCGTCTGATCGGGCCCGGACTGGGTCCCTGACCAGGAACGAACTTGCCACGGCCTGGAATAGGGCGATTTTGAACGGGCTGTTCTCTCACTGGAGGTGCACGGTTGACATGTTTGATTCTAGGTTGTCGGGGTCTGATGGGGGAGGGGATACCTGGTTGTGGAGATTCTTGTTCGGGGTTGGGTTCATCTTGGGCGGCGGCGGCGGCGGCCGCTTCGGCTTTTTGGAGTTGGGCGTCGTGGCCTATGTCCATATTTTCGTTTGGAATGCTAAAAAGATCGTCTTCGTGGCCAAAAAGATCGTCGTTGTCTTCTTCTTCAACGACGTTCTCGACTTCGTCATCGTCCGTTTGAGGTTGAGGTGGGAATCGGCCACCAATTGATCGACCTGGACTTCTGATTATATCTGTGCGTGCTGCACCTGGTGAATGGAGAGGGGCAGAGGGTCCACGTTTTGTGCTCCGGCCGGCGGGTTGAGGGGGTGGACTCCTCCCGTCGTCGTCACTGGAAGTCGACTCACGACTTGAGATGGAAATGGGTCGGTGGGGGCTGCTTCCCACCCTTCGACCTGGCCTTCTGCCCTCTGAGCCCTGTGAAGATGGCTGGCTTGGCGGATCGCCTCCAGGTGCAGCAGCTTGTGCTCGTCCCGATGGCGGTTGACGCTGGGACTGACCTTGACCTCTTTCAGCCTCTCGCCGGCCTTGAGGCTGGGAAGTTGCCGGGCGTTGACGATCTCTCTGTCCGTCGCCAGCATCCTCATTGTTACCTCCTTGTTCTTGCTCCGGCTCGTCAGGGGACAATTGTCTTGCCCTCTTGCCTTGATTTCTCTTCTCCTTTAGCCATTGTTGCGAGTTTTCAAGCGAATCACTCCTGTCTCGCTTCTGACCTCTACGTTCTCCGACATCACTCTCATTTTCATTTCCTTCAAGGACAGTAGCCATGGGCCTTCTTTCCCCAATAAGTCCAGGCGTCACATGCTTACTCGGCACAGCACCAGCACCCGCACCAGGACGAACAGGCGTACTCCCCCTCGGCAGCGGCACCGACGCCGGCTTCTGACTCTTACCATCAGGCCCCCTCTTAATGGGTTTCCTCTCCCTCGTATCTGCCTTTGCTTTTGCAGCCGCTCCCGCCGCCTTGGTCTTTTTCTCCCCTTTTACCTGGTCCTTCTTAGCCGCGGCATCATCTTCAGCAGCTTGTCCAGTTAATCGAGGCCGTTTAGCCTGCGGTTGTGACGAAGATTTGTCTGCTGACCGTTTCAGTGGTCGTTTCCTTTTTTTGGGTCTGACCACTCTTGGTCTGCCCTTTTTCCCAGCCGTGGGGGAAGGGGGTGCGTCGTTGTCATCGTTGGAGGAGCTACTAGTATCCGTTGACTTGCTCTGGAAGTTGAAGTTGATCTTCATGCCATCGATGATTTCCGATAGCTCACTTCTTGGTCTCTTGCCATGTATCTGGGGGGTGTTGGTTGGTCTCGGAGCTGGTGCCGCTTCGAAGTCGAGACGGCGAGCGAGGTTATTGTTCCGGGTCTGGCTTTGAGGAGGGAGTCGACGTCCTCCAGGTCGGAAGAGGGCGGCGCTATTGTCCACGGTAGGGGCTACCAGTACTGCTCCCGGGGTGGGAACACGGGCAGACGGCCGGGAGCCTGGGGTTGGTTGAGAACGAGGTGGACTAGGCGTGACGTTCTGTCGCCGGGCGAGTTTGGCACGATCCCGGCTGGAAAGCAGGTCTGGGTCGATATCCCAGTTGTCTTCTTGCTCTCCATTCCCTTCTTCACCGGCGACATCAACATATGCCTTACCATCACCTTCATATGCCCAGGTCGCTTCCAAATCCGTGTCCTCACTCTCCCCAGCACTTTCCGCCACCCCCTCTTGCTCCCTCATGCTCATACCCGGCGGATCCTCCACCAAAACACCTACCGCCCGCGCGGCAAAGACCTCCGTCAGCATCGTGGCTATCCACTTCGCGTTATACTCCCGAATCGCGTCCGCGCCATCTTCCTCTCCCGGTTCTTGACTTTCTTCTTCCTGGTTGGCAAACGCAGAAGGGATCATCGTGCCCGAAACGGACCTTGCAAGGCGCGCTATACGAGGCTTAGCGTACCGCGCCATCTCGCTGACGTCGTAGACAAGTCCGCCTATGCCACCAACGTTTACCCATAGGGCGGGTTCGCTATTGACGATGCTGTTGTGGGCCCATTGGGCTAGGGTTCGGCCACCAGCGTAGACCAGCTTCGCCCATTGAGCGGCTCTGCGCTTGCGCTGGGTCCTTGTGGCGAGGGTTTTGATGCCGTGGTGTTTCAGCTCGCGGAGAGTAATCTGCCGAGTGGGAGGGCGGTAGATCTTCCCCTTGATTACATCGGCTTTGAGTTTGGATACTTCGCGAAAGATCTCGCGCAGCTGTTGACCTCGCCTAGTCTCGCTGTTATGGAGTTCCGTGATATCTTGACCGTAGAGTTGGCGGAGAGTTCCGAGCGCTGAGGGGGTAAGCCATGAGCGATATGGAGGTCGGCCGTTGCGGTCCTCGATATAAGCAAAATCGTAAATGTAACCGTTAAGGACCAGGCTCCTAGGGCCGAGCTGGTGATTTGGCTGGACTTCCGGGATTACGAAGCCGATCCGGAGGTGTGCAAACTTTTTCAGGACTTTGGATAACCTGTCCTTTACGGTCTCCTCTTCGGTGTCCTGAGAGGGGCGAATGATGCAAGAGTATGTTTCCTGGTCAAGGACATGCTTCTCGGTGAAGATGTCCGTGACATTGTGAGCGGCGTTGAGGGCTAGGCGTCTGGCGCCGCCGGGGTGGTCTTCCACATACTCTGTGGTCTCGTTAACTCCCATTCTTTTGGGAAGTGAACATGTGGGAGGATGGAAACACTAACCAGAAATATCATAGACATTGTTTCGGATGCGAATATACATCCCTACTTCCTTGAAAGCATGTCGTCCAAGCTCCCTTTCAGTAAAAACATCCAGTGTCCATCTCGGCGGGGGTTGCATAATGTAGTCCTTGAGAACTGCGCACCGCCACGGCCACAGCAGGTTCCTGAGATCCACGGGGTTCTTCTTGTACTTATGGCAGAACACGGTCAAGTCCTGGCAGGTTACAATGTTGTTGCGGACGAAAACCTTCAAAAAGCCATCGTGTTCCTCTGGGATGCCTGGTGGAGGGAAGAAAAGGTGGTGAAGGTTAGTGGTTCTGCTGGAAGCGGGTGTTGAAGTGACTGGTGACACCTGAAGTGACTTACTACTAAGATCAAAAACATCCCTCCCGATATACGCCCACCTTGGCCCCCCATCCCGTCCATGAAACTCTCTCACCTCTTCCAGCGTTCTCTCCTGCAGGAGCTTACCGCGAAACAGCGTATGAGCATTTGACTGGAGATATTTCTTGATCGTGTTATCGATGACCACCCAGCCTTCGGGACAACGTTGGGCAACGTGTGACTTGACTGTGCTGCTTTTTTGGTGGGGGCGGTGGTAGCAAAAAAGGCCCTGAGCGGTTGATTCCCACTGTTCAACTACATGAGCTTTTCGTTAGCACCGCTGGGTCCGTCTCTCACACGTCAGTAATACCTATGTCTGCGATTTTCTCACTTCCGCTTACTGTCACTCGTAGTGTGGATAAACAAAAGGGAACGCAAAGCGAATGAAAAAGGAAACACAAAAAAAAAGGGAAAATACTCACCACCACCACCAACATCATAGATATGTCTTTCCCTGCGCCACCTTACCAACACCCACCTCGGCCCAGTCGTCTCTTTTAGAGGTCGGCAATGATCAGCAACCTCCCCCCTACTCCAATGCTTTTTTGTCCTCCACACATCCTTCACGTCTGCCAAAGCCTCGTCACCATTATATGTATAGAACGATTTGGTGCCGCCTTCGGCAGGCCACTCGAAGTACGGTTGTCCCAAATTCTCCCAGGTTTCGTCAAAGTTGTGGAAGTTGTAGTGGGCTAGCAAAAGTTGAAAGGCTTCAGACTTGGAGAGAAAGCCAGACTTGTAAAACTCGTCCAGAACGAAGCGGTGGCGGTTGTTAAGTTGCAGCTGGGAGAAGTTGAGATCGTCGGGGAGGGGCTGGTTAGATCGGATAGGCGAATTTTGCTGTGGGGGAGAGAGCGAAGAGAGGCTTGCGTATTCTATGTCCATAGCATCAGGATCAGTGTCATCCTCTTCTTCTTCCTCCTCCTCCTCCTCCTCCCCGTCGCTATCATTGACATCGTGGGTTACGGATCGCCAGGCTTTTTGGGATCTGCCTGCGCGGAGGGGACCGCGACGGCGGATAAGACCGGCACCGGGGTTACCGCCTCCTCGGCTACCACCATCACCGCCTCGTCTACCGCGGAAACCACGGCCACGAGGTTTGGAGATACCGCGGGTGGGACCCCGGCTCTTCATGGCTTTCGAGACACCGCTCAGTTTCCCAATGTCCAAAACCATCTTTAGACGACTGGCAATACCCTGACCCTGACTCTGTTCCTGACCGCCCATCTCAATGTCACTATCATTATCACTGTCGCCGTCACTGTCGTCGTCACCGTCGTCGTCACTGTCATGATCACTATCACTCATTTCATCATCACGATCACTGGCATCAGATGCCCACGAACTGACAGGCGACGACGGCGCGCTCCCTAGGAACGCACGATGTGCATTCCTATTCCTCCGCTTCTCTTCCGCTTCCGACACTTCCACCACGTCGCCGACCTGATTCGAGCCTCCCTTCTCCAAGCCCATGACCCAGTCCGGAAAGGTAAAGTTGAAGGGCAGCCAGCCCTCAGTTTCAAGGCCGCGGAGATCCGCCTCGTGGTCGAGTGCAGCAAGGAGCTCATGTGCCAACTGCCTAATGGCATCCAGCAGCCCTATGGGAGTCGGGGTGATGGTCCAGCACCTGCGCCCATCGCGAAGGGCTGTGGAAATGACATCGACACGGGCGTCGTAGGCAGTGTGAGACGCGTATTTTTGGCCGTACAGATTCAACGTGGTCCAGCTCTTGCCCGCGTCGTCGCCATATACATGGCGATCGGGAAATCTCCACCTCGTTCCCTTGACAAGAGCGTTGATGCTCGGATGCCAAAGGTTGGGCGCTTCAGTCTGGAAATTCTTTTGCTTTTTTTTGAACCTGACCGCTTTCCTTCGCCAGGGAATAGCCGCTCTCATGAGGTGGAGCAGAATGCGGTAGACGAAGCCCAGGGACTTGGCCGGGCCGGCGCGTTGCTCCCATTCCTCGATCCTCGTCTGAAGCGTGTTGATCATGGTCGTGCAAGTCTTCTCGTCGTGACAGGAGGCGGCATCGCTGAACACTTCGACGCAGTTGCGGCATCCCGCGAGGGAGTAAGGGGTGCGTTGCCAGTAGGCATAGGCTTGGGCGAAATGGTCATTTTGTCCTGAAATACCGCGCCAGCGTTTCCATGCTTTCTTGCGGAGTTGGAGGTGGTCGACGCAATCTTGGTATCTAGCGGCTATTTCAGGATATGCGTCAAAGTTTTGGGGGTTGTTGGGGTTGGGGACCACGGAGAAGACGCGGGTGATCTCGTGCTGGTCCAGTACGGGGGTCCTAAAGGGGCGGGGTGGCCGTAGGGCGCCTCGGCCTTTGGTTCCTACCAACACGTCCCAAAAATCTTGGAGTTGGAGGGAGGCTGCGAAGAAGGCGGGAATGGGATACCTGTCGAAGGATATGGGCTGACCTGAGGGCCAGTGAATATGATTGTCGATGGTATAGTTACTTGAGCTATATATCCAATTGGTGTCTTCAAATGTGTATAGGGCCAGCCCATACTGCCGCAAACCGGGCAGTGTAGACGGAATTAGATCATTTTCTGTGCCTTCTGGGGTGTAGCGAAATGTACCACCAAAGAGATTATTTTCGATTGAATAGCCCAGCTCAGCCACCCACTCGCTGTTGTAGACCTAGGACCATTGTCAGGCAACGTAGCGGGAAGGAAGAGCCGGTATGACTTACTGGTTCGTACGTATCAGGAGCGTCACCTTCTTTAAGCAATGCGGCAAAGTTAAGCGCATGCTATATCTCGGAGCATGTGGTCAGTGAGAGACAGGCTTTGTGGGAGGAGGAAAAAGGACCAACGTACCGCCAATTCGTGTATCATCTGGACAAACGTTAGCATACTCATCCAAGCAAGAGGAATGTGACGTCAGATAATACATACCGTAACGGCAAACTGCAGACGAGCAATGTGCTTTTCGCCGTATCGAAGACATTCCGCCGGGTTGTTGGTACCGTTGTTGTCTTGCAGCAAAGTCCTCAAAATCCGAGCATTCATGCGAATGACGACAAATTGTTCGTCTGTCCTCTTGTCCTTTGCAAGCATTGTATAGGCGGACGTGACCTTGTCCGACCTCGAATTTGCGAAGCCAAATGCATTAGGATCGTCGCCGTCAAAGAAGGACCAAACAATGCGGTCGGCGAGGTCAGTGGTCTCGTTGTAAAGCCGTATCCGTGCGGCCTGGGTCAAGGGGGCATCTGGGTCACCGTGAGCTTGAAAGCGCTGGGCCTCGACGCCGGTCCGTCTGTTGTATCTTTGGTACTCGGTTCCCGTAATTGGGTCCCAGTCTTTTAACAAGAGGGCGTGTAGCCACTTGGTACACTGGGCCTCGGCAAAGATTTTGTTTGCCATCTCTACGCAGATGCCCAACTCGGCAAAGACGTCGGGATTGTCGATGGACCAATGGGGAGCGGTGAGAGACGTGTTGGTAATGTCGACGGGGGACTTGAGGTCGTACCAGCGGGCCTTTTGGAAGATTGGGTGCCACATTTGGGGGTTGACAGCGATGGAGGCTTCGCTGACGGGGGGGAGGCCCTGGTGAAGAGAGGCGAGTTGCCAGGCCTTGAAGCCATCGTTGATCTCTTGCTGGAAGCGCTCGGCCAAAAAAAAGGTATCCAACTGGGGCGGCGACGGGATGGGCAGAGGATCTTGACGTGCAGCTTCTTCATTGCTCATGTCCATGCCCAAAGCGGGCAAGGAGGGATACTGGGTTTCGAGACCCGACTGACCAAAGTTTATAAAGTAAGGGTTCATCCAGCCGCCATAACGCCGAAGCTCTTCAGTATGTGGATATTGTGGGAGAGAGTCCTCGGTATCCGGCCCGATCTCGCCAACGGAGGCGTATGTTGCGCGGCCCATGATGTTGATGTTGTCGTGCTTGCTGTTGTTGTTGTTGTTGTTGTTGTTGTTGTGGTGGTGGTGGTGGTTGTTGAACGTTGTCGAGGAAGCATGATGGACAAGACGTGTCGAGTAGACATGTGGAAGTCATGGGCATTTTGGGATCGTGGCAGCTCAGTGGTAACTCGGGCACAAGATCAACAAAGGGGACAAAGGGGGAGGGCCGCAAACGTCAATAGCAATTATGTAGCTTGAAAGCTCGAGTCGAGACACAATGAGCCGAGCTTTCTTTGAGACAGCGAAGGGTGAGTGTGGGAGATGATGTCTCGAAGCATCTTGCCTCATGGGACAAGTTGAGAATGAACATGGTATTGTCATGGTGAAATACATCATGAGCTATGGCATACGCTGTCTTGTCCTCTCGAAAGCGTATTCGATAAGAGACATCATGAGTTGAGGACTCGAGCGTCGAGTGTCCAAGGGAAGATGAGCAGAGAACAAAGAAAATGACATGCTCGCGGCTGAGCTACAGCTTCTGCAAAGGAGAAGAAGAACATCAAAGGAGGATCGAAAAGAACAATGAAAGAAGCTTGAACAGGTATGGCCTCGGTAGCTCATAACGACCTCCAGGCCTGCCCATGAATGAGTCTTGTTGGCTGTACTTGGTCGTGACGGATTTGAGCGACGAAGACAAAATGGGATGTGAGAGATGTCCAAATTAGGCTGACGATACTCTTATCGATAAGGCGCCTTGTCAATCGACCGGACATCAACTTGTGAGTCCAATGATGACCCGGGAAAAATGCTTGATGTTGCCTGCTCTGGTGACTTGAAGTTGTCGGGTTTCCTCCCTCAGTCAGCTCATTAGTACCTAGGTACTTCCTTCTCGAATGCAAAATTTTCACGGGGAGATGCCCCTTCCGCACGACATACCAGACAGGAATGAACCCAAGGAAGGCACATTCGAGCAGAACTGCAGCTTGCAATCTCTCTCTTTCAAGAAGTGGAACTGAAGACATAAAATGAAGGACCTGTATTGGGAAGGGACTGGGCAGAAGAGAAACGCAAAACTGAACACTCTGAAAAAGGAAACCGCGCATGCGACCAGTCTCAATGTAAAACTCATTGCTCCTGCCGTAGTCACGCCGTAGTCGAACCCCCGAGGCCCTCATTTTTTTGATTCAGTCGACCAGAACAACCAAGTAAACGAGGAACTTGAATCGCGCCGAGTTCGCAGCGATTGACATGCCACCATGGTGTTTGTTGTTGGCTGTCCACGCAGTTGGCGCCATGACGCCCAGGCGCCGCAAGTGACATAAGATGGACAGGGGAAAAGTGACGTTAAAGAAAGGGCCAAGAGGTCCAAGACACAAGACAAGCTTCCATGTTTGCCAACCTCGTTGTCGAATGTGCACACGTGGGCGACGCCAAGCGGCCAAGGTGGTGCAGTGCTTGGTGATGTTGACAGTTCGCCGACGAGACCTAGGTAGTGGCGGGAGTGGGAGTGATGATAAATTTGGAGACTGGACCGCCCGTTCGTCGCCTTGCCCGGTGCAGAGGAAGAGGCTCCAGAGCAGTCTTGTCGTTTTCGTCAATGCTCTCAACGCTGCCTAAATGCTTATGCCAGAAGGGGTCCCCCTCGGCCTCAACCTCCAACTTCTGGCATAAGCGTTTAATGACCCAGCCCCACCCCCGCTGCGCCAGAGGCTGGACCACCCCGCCGTTGACCCTGTACCACTACCCCACTGCTTCCGCTAGTCCCACTGGGGAGACCCTGACGACTCTGGGGCTCAGTGTCAGCGCACGAGCCTTCGAGCTTCTTTTGGATTGGCTTCGTTCTCGGTTTGTCACTTTTTGTTCTCCACGAAATATAACGACAACTGCGACTTGTGGTGCCATTAACGATGGTTGCATATGCTGTACAACCTCTTCTTTCTTTTTTTTCTCTTTCCATAATTCCTTCTCCATTCAAAATACCTAAACATGCTCGCTACACAATGTCTTCTTTCCTCGACTTTTGTGTGACGTGACCAAGTGTCAACACCACGCATTCGAAATGAGAAATCATCAACAATGACCAAAGGGAAACACGCACAACGGCAATCATGACAAAGGGAAGTCGAGGGCGCTCGCTTTCGTCGAGCATGTTTCCAATGCTGAATGTACTTCCCTACTACGTGGGCTCCAAAAAGCGAACCGACACCGACACCGATACACTACATACAAACTACCCTCGGCCTGCTTCTTCAACAACTTGAAAACAGACATGACTGACATTCGCCATGGCGCCAAGAGGCACCAAGGCTGGACCAAGAACGGCCCAAGACCTCCCCAAGCCGCCGCTCCTTTGTCCCGCCACGGCAATTCGAGCAGGCTGGGCAGGTCCAGTTTCTTGTCTGTCAATCGGATACATAACTGTGATAAACCTGCAGTGAGAATCCAGGAGCCCTTGGCCTTGGCGCAGGCTTGGTATTTCAGAAAGGAAGGGATCAGTGCGGACGAGTCGGGGGAACATGAGGTGTGTTCAGACAAGCTGAGAGGCTGGCCAAGACCAAGATGGCGAGAATTCCTCTACTGAGGTAATATACAAAATATATATCTACGAGCCGGACCCCGTCCTGCTGTTTACCTACTCTTACTACTACTCTACAGCTGTCTACATGTTGTTGATCTAGCAGACAAACAGACAGACTATCCACACAACTGACTCCTACAGACAAACATGACCAAGACAGAGCCTGATAAGGCTGCTGCTGGCGACCATGTCTCTGGCCAAAGCAACAAACCCCTTTCCCGACCTGCCCACGCCTTAACCCATCAAGATCTCGCCCACGAAATCGGAGCCGACCCCCTTTCCGGTCTCACCCCCGACGAGGCCAAGCGTCGGCTTGAGGAATATGGAAAAAACGAACTGGGCGAGGCTGAAGGTGTCCAGCCCATCAAGATCATCATTGCTCAGATTGCCAATGCCATGACGTTGGTATGTTTTCCTTTCCCTTCTTCTTCTTCTTTTTTGCTTTCCTTTTCTGTGACGGCATACTGACAGCAAACAGGTCCTCATCCTGGCCATGGCCGTCTCCTTTGGTATCAAATCCTGGATCGAAGGCGGTGTCGTCGCCTTCGTCATCGGCCTCAACGTCGTCGTCGGTTTCTTCCAAGAGTACTCTGCCGAGAAAACCATGGACAGTCTACGCTCTCTTTCCTCTCCGACCGCCACCGTCGTCCGCGGCGGCGAGGCCATGGTCGTCCCCTCTGGTGAAATTGTCCCCGGTGATCTAGTTGAAGTCAAAATGGGCGATACTCTACCGGCAGATATCAGGTAACCTGTTGACCATTCTCTCCACTACCCCCTTTTACAATGGCTGATCAGGTTCTTCTTTGGATAAACAGGTTGATCGAAGCCAAAAACTTTGAAACCGACGAAGCTCTCCTAACCGGTGAATCCCTTCCCGTTCGCAAGACGGTTGAGTCCACTTTCGACGACACCACCGGCCCTGGCGACCGTCTCAACGTCGCCTACTCCTCCTCCACCGTCACCAAGGGAAGAGCAAAGGGTATAGTTTTTGCTACCGGCACGTTCACCGAAATTGGCGCCATCGCCTCTGCCCTCAACAAGAAGGATTCTAAGGTCCGCCCAGTCAAGCGCAAGCCCAATGGCCACGCTGGTCCCCATCGTTATTTGGAGGCGTACACTTTGACACTTGGAGACGCCATCGGTCGGTTTTTGGGTGTTAACGTCGGCACTCCGCTGCAAAGGAAGCTGTCAAAGCTGGCCATGTTGCTTTTTGGCATCGCGGTTATCTGCGCCATCATCGTCTTGGGAGCGAACAAGTTCAACACCCGTCAGGAAGTCATTATTTACGCCGTGGCCACGGGTCTGTCCATGATTCCGGCGAGTTTGGTGGTGGTGTTGACCATCACCATGGCAGCTGGCACCAAGAGGATGGTGGAACGGAACGTCATTGTGCGCAACCTCAAGTCTTTGGAAGCTCTGGGCGCAGTGACGGACATTTGCTCGGACAAGACTGGCACGCTTACTCAAGGAAAAATGGTTGCGAGGGGTGCTTGGATCCCGGGGATGGGTACTTACACCGTCGAGTTGGGTGATGAGCCGGTGAACCCGACCAAGGGCGACATCCGCTTTGCGAAGCAGATGCCGTCGGAGATTGATTTCAAGTCGACCAACGCTGAAAAGAGCTCTACCGGCCCTGTCACGGCCCCTAGGGAGCTTCTGACATCCAGCACCACCCGTCTCCAAGACTTCCTCTCAGTCTGCTCCCTCGCCAACCTTGCCACCGTCTTCTCCAAGGAATCCGAAGAAACACCCGGCACCGAACAATGGCACGCGCGTGGCGACCCGACCGAAATCGCCATCCAGGTGTTTGCTTCCCGCTTCGACTTCAACCGTCTCCGTCTTGTCTCCGGTTCCAACCCTGAATGGCAAGAAGTCGCTGAATTCCCGTTCGATTCGGATGTGAAGCGCATGTCGGTTATCATGAAGAATACGCAGACGCAAGAACACTGGGCCCTCACCAAGGGCGCTGTGGAAAGGGTTATTGGTGCATGCGTCAACTACTTTGACTCTGATGGTCCTGACGCGGTGGCTAAGCCCGTGACTGACGAGTTCCGCGCCGATATTTTGAAGAACATGGAATCTTTTGCCTCTCTCGGTCTGCGCGTCCTGGCCCTTGCCTCCCGCCGCCTCCCCTCCGACGGCACCACCTGGAACGAAGAAACCTCCCGCTCCCTCATCGAATCCGAGCTCACCTTCCGCGGCCTGATCGGGCTCTACGACCCTCCCCGCCCCTCGTCCGCTTCGGCCGTCCACCAATGCCACGAAGCCGGTATTTCGGTCCACATGCTCACTGGTGACCACCCGGAGACCGCCAAGGCCATCGCCATCGAAGTAGGCATCCTGCCCCCTCTCTCTTCCATGTCCCGCGTGTCTTCAGCTGTCGCCCACGCAATGGTCATGACCGCCTCGCAGTTCGATGCCTTGTCCGATGACGAAGTTGACGCTTTGCCCGTTCTCCCCCTCGTCATCGCGCGCTGTGCGCCCTCTACCAAAGTCCGCATGATCGAAGCCTTGCATCGTCGCGGTCGGTTCTGCGCCATGACCGGCGACGGCGTCAACGACTCTCCTTCCCTCCGTCGCGCCGACGTCGGTATCGCCATGGGTCTTTCCGGTTCGGACGTCGCCAAAGACGCTTCGGACATTGTTCTGACAGACGACAACTTTGCCTCCATCGTCGCCGCCATTGAAGAAGGCCGTCGCATCTTTGACAACATCCAGAAATTCGTCCTGCACGTCTTGGCGGAGAACATTGCTCAGGCAGGCACCTTGCTCATCGGGCTGGCATTCAAGGACGCCTCCGGCCTTTCCGTCTTCCCTCTAGCTCCCGTGGAAATCGTCTGGATCATCATGATCACCTCCGGTCTTCCGGACATGGGCCTCGGTTTCGAGCGCGCCGTGCCCGACATCATGGCGCGCCCCCCGCAATCTTTAAGGACAGGAATCTTTACGCTGGAATTCATCATCGACATGATCTTTTACGGACTGTGGATCACGGCGCTGTGTCTGGCCTCGTTTGTGTTGCGGGTCTACGCCTGGGGCAACGGCGACTTGGGCAGCGGCTGCAACGAGCATTACTCGGACTCATGCGAGACCGTGTTTCGCGCGCGCGCCACCACGTTTGCGTGCTTAACGTGGTTTGCCCTGTTTCTAGCCTGGGAACTGGTCGATATGCGCCGCTCCTTTTTCCGGATGCAGCCTGGTAGCAAGAAGTACTTTACGCAATGGATGGTGGACGTGTGGCGCAACAAGTTTTTGTTTTGGGCGATTGTCGGCGGATTCGTCACGCTGTTCCCTACGTTGTATATCCCCGTGATTAATCATGCCGTGTTCAAACACACGGGGATCTCGTGGGAGTGGGGTATTGTGTTTATTGCTGCTGGTTTGTTCTTTGGGGGTGTTGAGGGGTGGAAGTGGGCGAAGCGGGTGTTTTTGAGAAGGAGGGCGAGGAGGGGAGCTGCCAAGAGCGGAGGGCAGGGCAAATTGTGGAAGGATATGGATGTGGAAGAAAAGATTTTCGGAGAGTATTTTGGGTCGGCTTCTACGGATGAGGTTTCGCTTCAGGATGCTCATACTCGTGGGAATGAAAAGGAGAATGAGGGAGCCACGGGCCTGCGCCAGGGCGAACAGGGACGGGATTGACTAAGAAGGGGCGGGAAGCCCCGGACGGAAGTCGTTGTTGGTGAGGTTGGCATTGTCAAAGTCAAAGTCATGGTCACGACTGATGAGGTTGGCGATCTTGATGATGATAATGACCGTGTCAAGGAAGGTGCTGGTGAGTGCAAGGTGAGTCGCTCATGCGAGAGTGGCAGTGGCAGTGGCCAGACAGGACTGCAGTTGGCGTCCTTTTTGGTTCTTGTAGCTCCCTCTTCTTCTGTGCGCCGGCAACAGCAGCTGCTACGGTTCCAGGTAGCATGCTTTGGTTGCCCAAGAAGTGATTGTCAACGAGGGGGGTCTTTTGGTTCTGGTTCTGTTGATGGTGTTGCGAAGGTTGATGGTACTAGTGTTGGGAATCGGGTGTTGAGATTGGGATCAAGAATGATGAAGAGAGAGGAGGATGATTATGTCTGTCATTACCGTAGAATTAGTAGTAGTAGTAGTAGTAGAATAGGTAGCACCGGCGTTGAGGTCGGGAATATATATAGTTTGTCAGTGCCGTGCGGTTGTTGGAATGAGCTTCCACTTGTCACCCTTGGCCAGCGGAGAGTGGGGATGTAGACGAATTGCACTAACAGCTTAACCGCTACCACGCAGCTAATGGAGAGCATCGGCGTTAGTGTACCTGTACATTACCTGATCGGCTTTTACTAACAAGATCGGTGCCCATCCTCGCTTTATTTTGCTTGTTGATGTTACATGTAGTGCTCCCCCGAATTCTCCGTTACTGCCACCACCACCAACTCCGACCGACCGCGAACCCAAAATCGGCTTCGTGGGGTCTCGGCAGCCAATACCAAGTTAGGTACCTTTACCATAGCCATCACAAATCCGCGATACACTACATACACCACTCTGCGCCCTTCACAGAACAAAATCCGCACGATCGGCAATCGATATGGTTACATACACGGAGCTAGAAACCCTCGGGGCTCGACGGGGCAACCCAACTGATGCGTCCGGCCGGCCGGGCTCTAGACTGACAGCGGTTCCACCTCGCCGGCGAGTTTGGTAGTACCTGATTGATGCATGGACCACCCCGGACCCGCCGCGCGCCGCGCCCTTTGGTTTACAATGGGTGGGGTTGAAAATGGAAAATGGGAAATGGACTTGGCCGGATGCGGGCATGCGGTGCGGCATGCGACGGCAAACCGATCACCATGCCCACTATGGCAACGGCAAGCTAGGTAGGTAGGTAGGTAGGTAGGTATGGCCGGAAATAAAGAACGAGGATGGGGATGGGTTGCGGTGATGGTTGCTGTCTTGGCTTTTTACGAGTTCTGGGCCTCTGTGACGAGGAGAGAAGAGGAGAGGAGAGGGGAGGAGAGGTAAGTACATGGAGGTAGAGGTCATACCTTAGAGGGGGACGTGAGGGGCAGACAGACGACGGACGGACGGAAGAGAACTCGCAACCTCAATTTTGCTATTGATGATAGCATCTCACACACAGCTCACGACATCCCGTCTTAATAGCGTCATGTTCAGTTTGGGAGGTACATATAGTATTATCCGGTTGATGGTCGATTGATACCATTGTCAACAATCCACTCCCACAAATCCATTATGGTGACCCAAAAACTCGAAAATCGAATCGTCGAACTCGACTTCGGCATCCGCTCGGCAACCGTTCCTTGCCTTGTGTCCCAACCTCTACCTCGACACACCCAACAGCTAACACAAACAGGGAATAGCTTCCGTAGTCCCCCTCTCCAATTGACCTATCATCTCTTATGCTTTTCAGAAGCTAGCAAGCTTAAGGTTTAGCCTTTTCTTCTGGAATGACGCATCGAAATTCGGCCGAAAATTGTGGGCTCCGTCGGTTGTGGACACCCGGCCCGTTGGAGTTCGGGTCGTGTGAAGAAGGTGCGGTCTGGAGGTCTGCAGGTCTACATGTCTGCTTTCGAAGAAGGATGTGGTGCTTCGAATAAATTCCCTTTTATCTTGTTGTTTAGGTTTCTATCGTGCTCTGTTATTCATGCTTGGTGGATTCTTTATGTTCATGATATTCCCCAACCATTGAAGGGGGCTTTTTTGCTTGTACCTGCAGATCCCGAATTCATGTGAGAAAAAAAAAAAAAAAAAAAAAAAAAAAAAAAAAAAAAAGAAAGAAAGAAAAACTAAAACTAAAAACTGAAAACCCTTGAACCCGAACCCGAACGTGAACCGAATTAAACCGAAACGAACAAAACGGGTCCAGTCCCGCTCACCGCACGTCTATCTCGACGACTCACTTATTTAGGTCAAGTCAACGGAATACCAATCATTGGGTGACTCACTGGACATATAGCAGCCATTACTTTCTTTTATTTCTTTTCATTTCTTCGACGGTTATAACACATAACCAATACTCCCACCGGTCAACAACAACCGAGTCCAGTTCACGGCTCGGCAAAGAAAGCAACCAGTGACGACTGTCTACCTACCTACTCGACAACCAGAACCCAATACAAAAACATCATCACCATCTTCACTCGTCACATTGAGCACCACCAAAATGCCACCATCCCCGCCTCCATACATGGAAGCAATCCGAACAGCAGGAAGCCATGTTCAAGACTCAAGAGGACGACGATCAGACAGTGAAGACAGCGATATTGATATTCACGGAAACGACCAACATCATGACCAAGACGACAGCCATGAAGAAGATGAGAAGCACGCAGTCAACAACACCAACACCAACACCAACAACAACGGAGGAGGAGGTGCTCTTTCCCTAGTCAAGACCCTTTCACGAGTATTATCAAGACCAGAATCGAATTTCGATCCGGGACCACCGCCAGATGGAGGCGCAAGGGCTTGGTGTACTGGTATGTATTCCTTATTCTCTCCTTTTTTTTTTTTTTTTTTTATTATTATTATTATTATTGTGAACACGACACTTTCATCCTGAACCATACACTAACACGTCGCAACACGAAACAGTCGCAGCAACCCACCTAGTAGTCATGACCACCTGGGGCACCATCAGCTCCTTTGGCGTTTTCCAGACCTACTACACCTCCACTCTCAACGCTCACTCCCCATCCTCAGTCGTCACCCCCTCCACCATCTCGTGGATCGGCTCTCTCCAAGTTTTCTTGCTCTTCTTCATCGGCACTTTCACCGGCCGTCTCACAGACGGCGGCTACTTTCGGCACATTTACCTCTTGGGAACAGCATTCATTGCCCTCGGCATGTTTTCCACCGCCGATGCCTTGGACGGCCTCACTTCCGGCAATGGTAATCATGGTGATGCTGCCGAAAGCGCAGTCTGGAAATTATTCCTCGCGCAAGGAATCGCCATGGGACTAGGCAACGGCTGCCTCTTTTGCCCTTGCGTAGCTACGTTATCTACATATTTCAGCAAGAAACGGAGTCTGGCTATCGGGATGGGCGCCTGCGGGACTGCCACAGGCGGCTTGGTGTTTCCGTCCATGATGCGCAGCTTGTTGCCTCGCGTCGGGTTCGCATGGACGGTTCGCGCGATGGGGTTCATCTGCGTTGGATGTCTACTGGGTGCATTCTGGGTGATCAAACCACGCACCAAGCCGCGCGGGATGCGAGGCGCGTTGGTGGAGTGGTCTGCCTTCAAAGAGGGGGAGTATTCCTTGTTTGTGGCCGGGAGCTTCATGTGTTTCCTGGGGCTGTACTTTACGTTTTACTACCTTGCGAGTTTTTGCAGGGATCTCGTCGGGCTAGCGTACGAGGATAGCTTGAATATCCTGCTGGTATTGAACGGGGTGGGTATCTTTGGGCGGCTGGTGCCGAATTACCTGGCTGATCGGGTGGGGCCGATTAATTTGTTTATTCCGTTTGCGGCGGTGGGCGGCATTTGTATGTTGTGCTGGATGGCGGTCGAGTCGGAGGCGGGACTGTATGTGTGGGCCGTGTTTTACGGGGCGGCGGCGGGAGGGATTCAGAGTCTGTTCCCGGCGGGATTAACGAGCTTGACGACGGATTTGAGAAAGACGGGCGTGAGGATGGGGATGGTGTTCACGTGTAATAGCTTTGCGACGCTGGCGGGGCCGCCGATTGCGGGGGCGATTATCACGAATATAGGGGGTAGGTATTATGGCGCGCAGGCGTTTGCGGGGTCGACGTTGTTGTGCGGGACGGGCTTGTTGGCGGCGGCGAGGATGGTGAAGGCGAGGAAGGCGCAGAGGGAGGGGGAGAGTGGAGGGGTTTGGAAGGTCAAGGTTTGAATCGATGCCCGTCGTCGGCTGCATGAGGGAAACAGAAATGGGGTGTGGAAAAGTTGGATAATACTCGAGTTACGATACGCTAATGTCTACATACAATGTTCTGCCGAGACTCTTACCTTGTTCATGTCGACATACTCGAGATCCTGTCACAAACAAAGAAGGCCCTCAATGACCATTGTCTCTCACCATGCAACAAAGCACATTGCCCAACACCCTCCATTGTCCCACATCGACCTTAAGATGAAGACACCCGGGCCCTTATGTCTCGCTGGTCGAGTCCTGTCATCCCAAACCTCTAATTACCGAAGATACAGCACCGCAATGTCCAACCCCGACTTCACCACCTACTTCAACTCCCCCCTCTTCGCCGACGCCACCATCTCGTACCAAACCCACACAGGCGACAAGCGTCACCTCCCCGTCCACCGCCTCATCCTCTCCCTGCACTCGCCCTTTTTCGCCTCCGCTTTCACCCTCCCCTTCCGCGAGTCCTCCGATCCAGACCATCTAATTACTCTCCACGACGATGACCCCGACGCTTTAGTGTCTGCCATACGGTGGTGCTACGGACACTCGCTATACCGGCTAGACGGCGACGATGAGCTAGAGACGCAGTTGGCGTATAAGGATCTCATAACGATGAAATTTACAGCGGAGGAGGAGCGCCAGATTGCGGGGCTGTTGTTGCATTTGATGAGGGTGTATGTGGTGGCTGATAAGTATGACTTGGGCAGGTTGAGGGAGGAGGTGGTGGTGCATTATGAGCGGTTGGCGCCTCTTGTTTTACTACATAAACAGGGCATGTTTGAGGAGATGGTGGAAGTGGTTTATGGGTTAGGGAAGGGGGATAAATTGAGGAGACGGTTTATGGGGGATGTGGCGGGGGAGGTGGTTCCCGTTGTTGCTGAGACGGACTCTGAAAAGGAGAGGAATAAAAAGGGAGTGAAGGGGGAAAAGGAATGGGAATTGGAAGAGGTGGAAAGAGTGGTGAGGGGGTGTGTCTTCAAGGTCAGGACAGTTGGTCTGGGGAGGGAGTGGAAGAAGGAGTTTATGAGGGATATGAAGAGGGAGGTTAGGAGGGAGGTGAAGAAGAGGTGGAGGGGGGCTTAACAAGGGTAGTAAATGGAGGTCATGTACTTTCTATACCTAATCTCTATAGGAATTCCTAGTCTTCACTGCGCGGTACTAACCTGAATAATACGTAATTCCATATAAGATACAATCATCAGTAAGTGGACAGCCCCACCATGTTACGGTATCGTCTGTATCGCGTCCGTGCGCGTCTTCAGGTCTATTTACTTGGCCATTTGGTGATTTCACTTCACTTCGTCTCTCCTTCCTCCATCAACCACTCTCCAGCCACTCGATCCTTTCTCAGCTCAACAACATCGAGTCGTCAACTCGTTGTTCCCATTCGATTCTTCAACCATCCCTCCACGTTCAACTAGTCAGGCGCAATCATACACCATGGACAAGCGGTTCTTATCCTCCGACGAAAAGTAAGCCTCTCCCCGTCAGACATCGCCGTCGCCGTCATTGACAAGCCGCCATTGCATGACGTCGCAACACCTTTTGATTTCGTACACACACTAACCCAGTTTCAGACTCCTCGAGAGCGGTCTTTTCTCGGATGTTGTCGTCAAGTGCGGCGACAGAACATGGAACCTCCACAAGAACATCCTCTGCTCGCGCAGCATCTGGTTTGAAAAGGCTCTCACCGGCCACTTTGAAGAGGCCAAAACGGGCGTCGTAAACATTGAGAACTTCGAGCCCGCAGCCATCGATATCCTCATCCGCTATATCTACACCGGAATTTGCGACATTCCCGCTCTCTCCCCCAACACCAAGACCAACTTTGTCTCCTGCTTCGAAGTCTACACCGTCGGCGACTACTTTGCCCTCGTCTCCCTCACCAGAATCGCCCTGGACACCTTGAACGCCGAATTCGACGCCAAAATCGCCCCTCTCCAACTCCATTACAACTCCGGTTCTTCTGCCTCGGACGGCAACGGCGTCTCCCCCGACTGGCTCCCCGAGCTCTTTGAAGCCATCCGCCTCATCTACAACGACGTGCCTCTTACCGACATCTCTCACCCCACGCCCGGCATCCGCGCCACTTTTCTTTCCTTCATCCACGCCGCGCGTTTCTACTTTTTGCAAAACGAGCACTTCAACGCCTTCCTCGACCAAGTCCCCTCATTTACGCTCGATGTATTCCGCGCCATGCGCAACACGGGCGACTTCATCGCCCACCTCCCCGATGCACACTGTTCCCTTTGCAAGAGCAAGCCGACTAGGGCCGAGAAGGGTTACTACACCCACTTGGCGACAGAAAAGCTGAAGCTCAAGGCGAGCTGCTCGACGTGCGCGGGCAAGAGGGATCTTAGTGCCGGATGGACGGATTGGAGCGGGAAGTTTTCCAAGGCGACAACGACTACGACGGCGGCGACGGGAACTACGGGATCAGGATCGGGATCGGCGTTGGGTTAGGGACCTACCGCCATGTCTAAGACTAGTTCGTTCGACGAGTGGTCGTCCAGCGAAGAGGATTCGCCCGACGACAATGCACCAGTCGTGCATGATAATGGCCCGGGTGTGGGAGTCTTGAATTATGATGAGCCGTTTGTGGAACCACAGCTGATCAACCTGTATTGGCCCTAATGATCAGCTGTGGATTGAACCGTTTCTACACCCGCCGCCGCCTCAGCGTGCCTAGAGGGTAGAGACGGTGAGTGGTCCTCTGGAATTGGATTTCTGGGGGAAAGAACAACGATCTATCTCGGATAACTCGACCGAGGAGAACCCAAGGATGCGGCGCTCTTGGCAAGACGATGGCGGCATGTGATTTACGGAGCGAAGTGGCGATTCAGGATGAGATGACCTCCCCATGGTCAGGATGACGAAAACTGGATAGAGGCTTACGGTCTCGGCGTCTCGCAATAGGAGACCAGGGGCAGGTATAGTGGCTACGAAGCACCGATGAGTGGTTGTTTGGGTACCTACCTTGGAGTTTCTTCGAGACTCACAGCGATTGGGCGAGCTTGAACTACTGATGTTGGGGTGGAAAAAGAGAATACCGTGGGCTCAGATACCTAGGGAGCATCTACAGGAAGGGCATGAAGGGCCATGTTGATGAGAAAGGAAATGATGAAAGAGGGAACTTGAAGGGGCATGTAACCGAATCATACTCCAGTCAAGCCACACATGTTGGCCACTTCGACAATCCAGATGTAGGATACTCCTACCTATTTAGTGAAAAAAGAGACAAATACTCCCAGTCCTCTAGTACCCCTAGAGCGATCACCCCTCCCTTCTACGGCCGGGCATATACCACCCGCCTGTCTTGCAAATAGCCAAGTTCTCATCTCCAACCCTCACCTCACCTCCTCTTTTCCCTCAACCTCCTTCTATCCCCCTATCCCTCTCTTACCCTTTCACTCTTTCACCCTTTCCGCCTCCACCCTCCCAATGTTCCCCCTCCAATACCCTCACAGCCCTCCCAACACCACGTCTCCCCATCATCCACCTCCTCCTCTCTACCCCCTCCCCATTTCCATCTCCATCTCCATCCCTCTTCCCCTTCCCCACCACCGCCCCCGTCGCACTCCCACCAAGCCTACTCCTACAAGTAACACTCGCCACCTGCTTGATTTTCACGCTCGAAAACGTCCACGTCCCCGGCTGCGTCGTGCTCCCCGTCATCACCAGCCCCATCTGCACAGGGGTATCAAGCAGCATGCCCACCGCTGTGTTATTCGTGTTGGAGGAAGTACATGTTACTGACAAGGTTCCAGAGCCGGAACTGATCCACGTGGCGGCGATGATGGCGATTGTGTCTTTTGTGACAGCAGGGAGGGTAATGGTGGTTGTAGAAGGGGGAGGGGGAGGGGTAGCGACAGTGGTGGTGGGTTGAGGTTGAGGGTCATCAGTGGAAATGGTAGTTGGTGAAGGTGAGGGCAATGTTGGAGGGCACTCGTTAACAACAGGAGCAGGAGGAGCAGAAACCATCACCCCCGACTGCGGGAACGGATCAAGCGGACCCCAGACGTTACCTTCCTCGTCCCTTCCCAGGCCTTTAACCAGGTGTTCCATTGCCGAGAAATCGTTCGGAATAGGCGGTAGTCCTGGGGTAGTAAGTTCCGGCTGGATCCATTCTGTCACCGGCTGGATATATTGACCGGCCAGTATCCCGTTCTTTGTCCTCACCGGGTTTGGTGTCGACGAAATGACGTACTCGCGCGCGTACACATCCCCCGCGACACTCGTTATCCCCGTTCGGAACTTATTCCTCACTTGCCCGGCGATCAAACTGCCTCCGCTGACGGGTCTGGTGGTGATATTCCCCGTGCAGATATCAAACCCCGTCACGGCATGGATCGTCAAGCTGGACGTCCCCGACGCAGCAGAAGTGTACCCTATGAATCTTGTCTGCGCCACTTCGGCATTTACATCCCCGCTGTATACCCCTATCAACACGTCTTCCATCCGCATAAAAGGCGGGAAGTTCACCGGTGTGAGTATCTGTACGTTGGTAGCCACGAGCTCATAAACCAACATTTCTCCACCTGCCACCCACACTCCCGCATACTCGACAAAATCCCCCGGAACAAGCGGAGCCATGACCATCGGGTCCGGAGCCGTGAACGTGCCTTGTTTGATTCCGCTTCCAGCTATGGTCGGCCGGTTGGACATTGGACATAGGACGTCCGAAGCGTTGCGGGGTACGCACATGGGGAACCCACTAAAGGAAGAGATACTGGGGTTCTCATCGTCGGCCGTCCAAAACGGGTGGGAGGTGTATCCGACCGAGTAAACGCCGTTGGGGTCGTTGATGCGCAGCTTGGGCCCTTGGGATAATTGGATGGAACCGTCGTAGGAGATGGAAGAGATCAACCCCCGGCCAAAAGAGGTGGAGAATTGAGAAATGAAGATTTGGCCTGCTGTTGGGCCGTGGAGGGGGATCGAGTTGCCTATCACAGTAACTTCGAACCCCTTCATGAAAGTGATGTCGGCGCAAAAGTCACGCCAGGGAACCCAAGCGGCGGGGAACCCGACTTGGGTGTTTTGCGGGACTTTGATGGTCCATCCGGCGACGGAGATGGTGCCGCCTGAGTTGTAGATGCCCGTGTCTGTTATGGTGCATCTATTTCGTCCAGAAAGGAGTGAGACAAGGGGCGGGTTAGTATGTCTGTCTCGGCAGTCGGGTGTTTTCAGACATGGACTGTCTCGCTTCATGAGACAGATGAACGGAACTGTTGGGGATTTCTTGGGCGGGAGGAAATGTCTAACTCACCCTTCTAGACCACCATCCACATCGAATGGAATGTCTTGAGACAGACAGAAGGACGGCAGAAGAAGAAGGCTGGAGAATATGAGGGATAACTGCATCGTGTTTTGTCTTAGAGCCCAAAAGTTCGAGAGCCCCGAGGAAGCAGACTTCGGCTGCGATGGGTGTGTCTAAGTCAATGGTCTCAGACATTGAAGGGGTTGGTTAGGTTGTCTTATATCACGACTTGTCTTCATCAACCGCGAGGCCCCGACACTGACAACAAGACGGTTGTTCCTTGCATCTTGCATCTCGCAACGTACAAAATCGAAGCTGTTCAACTTGAACAACAACTCCGATATGCTGCATTTACGAGCTGAAGTTACCTCTATTTTGACACACGTAAGCGGAACTGCTGGAGATCTGAAAGGTCACCATGACTGCTCAGCCGACACTCAAATCGACATGCGATGCATCTAGTCCAGATTCTAGACGTCTGAACCCTGGAGAACAAGACTCGGGTATCACGATATCGGGGCTGGACAGCGCCATACCCAGTCTTTGGGTTGATAACTCGGAATGCCAGGTCATCAGGTTCCTAAAGGCCACAAAAGGGCTGTCAAGTTTCACGGAGCCTGGTTCTACTGGAGCGTTTGCCTAGCAACTCGCTTATCCGGTGCTTCCGTGGTGTATCGTGTGTCTCAAGCATCGCCAGGAGGGGGGGGGGGGGCAAAGAGCGGGTTCTTCCAATCCCGTAGCTAGTGCTATTTGGTGTCCTCGGCAAGGGCTGAGAACATGTATCACGTATCCAGCTCGTCGGGGTCATATACAGCCGCTGCTGGTTGTGGAGGTGTGGAGGTGAGCAACAACAAACTGGAATTGCATATGGAAGATGGTGATGGACTCGCATCCAGCTGGCTCGACCGGTTGATGCGGGGAGAAGAAAATACTCGCATGGAGCTGAGCCAAAACGATGATATGAAGACTGTGAGATGATCACCAAGAGACAAGGAAGGCATGGACGGACGGTTGGCCGAATGCTAGCTGCCAATAACAAAGGAAGGAACAGACTGATGAGCTCATCTTCTCACACACATCAACTCCAGCCCGACAGCAATCAAGGTCGAATTAAGCTTAACACGATTTTCAGGGTCGCCATCGTCACACCAATACGATATGTGTTCCGAATATGGATCACCACCACAAGCCACACAATACCTCATTGGGTATTCCGAGGTCACAAAAGGGTCTACGAAGGCCTGGCCCAGGGCCCGATTGATTCTAAGTCCCATTATTGCTGCTACAAATCGGGTTCATCCCCCCTGTCCTCGCCAATCATGCGGTTTGCTGAGGTCTCTTCTCCAGATGTAATTGGCTACCAAGTGTACAGTACGGACTGGAGGATAGATCCGATTTGAATGAGATTGGCAGTATGACTTCCTCAGATCTGGAAGGATTCACTAGTTCGTTCAGACAGACCTAAAGCTATGACTGGCTGCCGCTCTACCGGTGACGGGGCCTCTTTCCTTCTTCAACCAGCCAACAACATTTATCGTGCCCGGCCATCAGTCATCAAACCAACCTCACTCGCTGGCTAGGTAGGTATGATGCACTCCGGCGCCGTGCAGTTCAGCCTACAGTTCAGCTGAACTACGCTACACCTATCCTTCACCTCCTGTGGACTTTTGTCCTCATCGTGAGTTTGCAAGCGCTTACCATACGATAGACTTCACAATGAAGCCAACGCCTCTCTTCAGTCTTCAGTCTGCACATTCCTGCCATCAGCCCAGTGCGCCTTCGATTCTTTTTAACCCGGAACTAGAGGCCTCACCGAGCGATGTCTGGTACAGCCCGATTTATCTCAATAGACCCATACTCAGCAGCAGCCAGCCCCAGTGGCACACTTTGGCCCATTCGAGAGACCTTCTTCGCGACGCCACCTACACTAGACAGCAGCCCCCGGTCAAATGGAAACGAATCCGCCGAGGCACGGGATCGGCTTAACCCGATACACCATATGCAAGCATCACTTGTCCAAACTAGGACATTCCTGAGCTTTGTCTCGGATGTTATTCTCGGGTGGCTTGCGCATCATGGCCCATTTTGTTGTCGTCTTGGTGCCTTTGTTGCCTGCCTGAGCATAGGTCTATCCAGTCTAGAATGGGTGACAAGGCGAGGCGATACGAGCTACCTACCTAGGTATGAACGCCATTACGGCTTCTGT